TGTTTCAGGGGCTTAAGAATGCAGTCGTCCCCTGGAGAGGAAGTTTTAAGGCCATTAATAACGTTAATAATATCTCTGTGATCGGAGTCACGTTCATGGGGTTGTTGGAGGGCCCGAGAAATACTTTGGTCTCCGTCTTCATAAGGGGTTAATCGTGATAGATTTTCGCCCATTCTTGTAAAATATTTGTTGAATTCATTTGTAATGGTGTTGGGGTCATTGATTTTTTTCCCATCTATTAGTATTTTGTCGAATTTTTGTTTATCATACCTGTGAAGAACATCGTTTAGAATTTGCGATGTCTTCTTAACATCACCTGGACTTTGCTTAAGCTTCATTTTGTCATAATGTGCCTTTGCTTTCCGAATTGTCTGTTTTGATTAAGCGGTTGTGAAGAGACCGGAATGCCTCGGCGTAGGAGAGTGGCCACTTTGCATATTTCTTTTGAAGTTTATTTTTTTCTTTGATTAAGTTTCTTATTTCACATGTAATGTATGGTTTCTTGAAGGACTTGGATTTTTGTGACACATATTAATGGGAAAGATCTTTCAAAGGAGGGGATAAAAAGAGTAATGAAATTTTCATAGGCAACTCGAGATTGCGAGAGGCAAACACGGGGTCCCAACATACTTCAGTAGGGTGACAAAGTTGGTTATATTGGCTTCTTTATAGGCGCGATAGTAAGATGTTTTCTCGGTTTTAGGTTCATTATGTTGTAATTCTAGGTTAAAATTACTAAATACAGGAAAATGGTCTGATATGTTGCAATATAGAACCCCACTTGCTTTTAATTTTGGTAAATAAATTGTCCAGATATGATCAATTAAGGAGACAGAGTTTCCTTGTATTATAGTAGGCTTAGTGGCTGCTGAGAAAAAGAGCCTAGAATTAAGGGTGGAGACGGTTTCCCAAACTTTGTTATCAGAGTCTGCCTTGAGGTCTAGGTTAAAATCCCCACTGATGAGACACTTCTTGTTTTCTTGAGAGGCAGTCTCGATTATGAGCTGAATCTTTTCCAGAAAAAGGTTACTTTTGGGGCGCCTATACAATTGCCCAATCAGTAAGCTCTCGTTGTTAATAGTTACTTCAGTAAAAACTGACTCTATGAAATCTTCTTGGAAAGATAGAGCAGCTCTACCACGAGAGGAAAATCTGCCATGAATATAGAGGGCAACGCCCCGCTGTTTCCAGAGAGGTGCGAGAAGTATGCATGGTAGTCGGGGAGTGTGAAGAGGTGTTGAATGTCTTGAGTGAGTCTAGTTTCAGAAAAACCTAACACATCAAAACTATTCGGATGTAGATATTGCAGTAAATTCATCAAAATGATTGGGTAGGCTACAGATGCTATGGCTGATAATGGACAAGTAAGTCATAGATAAGCTGTTAGAAGTAATATAATCAGGAAAAAAAAAACTAAGAACAATTTGGATTTATCACGTCAAGGAAATCAGACAGGAAATTATCTGCTAGAGAATCCAAAGAATTAAAACGGTCATCAGAGGCGTTGATTTTAACGTTATGAAATGTTCTTGATTCTAGTACTTTTACGCTAATAACTTGGCCGACATTATCAGAAGTACATTCGTTAAGGCATCAATATTAAGATTTTGAAAAGGAAAAGTGAATGCACAATCCATATTGAATTAATCAAATAAGTGTTAGTTACGTGGGCCAGATTTGCAAATGACCAGAAACGGCACCACTTCTTGTTTCTCAGACGCTGGCTGACGAGACTAAATGAGGGTAGGGGGCCAAAGGCCGAGGCTCCCACAGATCTCAGCGCCTTCGAGGAGGGGTCATGCTAAAGATAACTTTAACTTCAACACTAGATGTTTTGGCAGAAAATTGACCCAAAATTGGTAATGACTGTATTAAACCGTAATAAAGTTTAAAAAGAGAGAGGGGGTGGAGAGGGAGAGAGGGGGGCAGAGGGAGAGAGGTAGAGACAGAAATATGTATATATATATATATAGATAGATAGATAGATAGATGAGGAGAGAGAGAGAGAGGAAGAGGGGGGGGGGGAGAGGGCGAGGGGTAGAGGAGATAGAGAGTCGAGAGAGGGAGGAGAAAGAGAGAATGCACTTGATATTGCTGGTACATTTGACAGTGTGGCACAAGGGCATCATTGCAAAGCTGAGAAGCCTTGGCATAGCAGGAGCCCTGTTGTCGCTACTCGAAGACTACCTGCATGGAAGAACAATGCAGGTGGTTGTTCACGGCCAAACATCCTCAAAATTTCCGATCGAGGCAAGTGTCCCACAAGGCAGTGTTATTGGGCCTTTGTTGTGGAATGTATATTTTAACGATATACTGCAGCTCATACCAAACGCCCAGGCCTATGCAGATGACTGTACCCTATCTTTCATCTGCTGCCACCCAAGCCGAAAGGAAACCGTGCATCACATCAACAACGTCATGGGAGACATCGTTGCATGGAGTAAGAAATGGCGTCACCTTCGCCCCTGAGAAGACCCAGACCATGTTGATAACGCGATGCCAAGTTCCCCTCGCACACAGTCCTGCCCTGGTGATGGACGGCATGACCCTAGCCTACGATAGCGCCATCAGCATCCTTGGGATGCAGATCGACCGCCGCCTCACCTTCACAGACCACGTCAGGGGAATTGCAAAGAACGCGGCGAGGAAACTGGCGTGCATCCGTCGCATCGCGCCTCTCCTCGATGCCAAAGGCTGCTACACGCTCTACCACTCCCAGGTTCGGCCAGTAATGGAGTACTGTCCCTTGGTGTGGTCCTGTTGCCCTCCATCATACCTGCGATTGCTAGACAGGGTCCAACATCGAGCCCAGAGACTAGTGTCACACAAAACGCTGGTTGGGGAGCGACAGTTACACTTTCAGCCTCTTCAGCATCGGCGAGAAGTTGCTGCTCTCTGTGTACTCTACAAAGTACACAGACTACGCGTCCCCCATCCCCTGCGACTTGAACCACGAGCGGCTGCAACCTACGATACACGGCATTCTAGCAACCGCGGTCAAGAGCTGCAGGTACCCTTCTCCAGGACCGAACTTCATCAGCGCTCATTTCAACCAAGATATTCCAGGCTCTGGAACACGATGGTTCAGCAAACATCTCTGCACAGCCTGCCCAGCCTGCAAGCTTTCAAGGCTGCTGTTCACAGATGGATGTCCCACGATCCTGGTTAATACGTAGTGTCCAATTCATAATAAACATATTCCCACAAGGTAAAGCTTCTAGATAGATTTTCATTAGCAAGAAAATCTTAAGCTTAGAGAAAAACATGGGAGCATAAAAACCCCTTGTTTTTAACCCGTATATATGAAAAGTATAAAAATATATATATATATATATATATATATATATATATATTATATATATATATATATGTGTGTGTGTGTGTGTGTGTGTGTGTGTGTGTGTGTGTGTGTGTGTGTGTGTGTGTGTGGTGTGGTGTGTGTGTGTGTGTGTGTGTGTGTGTGTGTATATATATATATATATTATATATATATATATATGTGTGTGTGTGTGTGTGTGTGTGTGTGTGTGTGTGTATGTATATATATATATATATATATATATATATATATATATATAATATATAAGAGAGAGAGAGAGAGATAGGTAGATAGATATGTAGACAGATAGATAGATAGATAGACAGATAGATAGATAGACAGACAGACAGACAGATAGATAGATAATGATGAGAGAGAGAGAGAGAGAGAGAGAGAGAGAGAGAGAGAGAGAGAGAGAGAGAGAGAGAGAGAGAGAGAGAGAGAGAGAGAGAGAGGAGAGAGAGAGAGAGAGAGAGAGAGAGAGAGAGAGAGAGAGAGAGAGAGAGGAGAGAGAGAGAGAGAGAGAGAGAGAGAAAGAGAAAGACGGAAATAGATATGAGCCATCCATATCAAATTGTTCACATCGTCTGCAAAATTGAAAACAGACGAACAATAGTACTATAGATCTTGTCATCCGCATAAATCAGATGGCTTCCTTATGGACAGATGTCCTTTACACTATTTATTACCAGAAAATCGTGTTTTTCATTTGATATAATATAGACTACAAAATGGATATCAATCCAGTGCATTTACACGAACGCTTAACGCGAACGCCGATCAGCTGATAGTTGTAAACATAAGTGATTCAAGATCATGCCAAAATAAACAGTTTTTTAACTCTTTCGATGGAACAGAAGAAAATTTCGAGATAGAAGAGAAAGAAGTAGGAGGCAAGATGAATTGCGCGCTTAAGTAGTTCCATGTGGGAGTTTTCTCCTGGATTTAACATTAAGATAACCAATGAGTCACAACATAAAGTGAGTATAAAGGGCTGCTTTCATCAATAGATATATGTTTTTGTTAATATTACTTCTATCATAGGTTTATGAATGGAAAAAGTATTTCTACTGTACATTTTATTTCTATGATAACCAGTCTTTTACAGACAAAATTTAGGATTCCTCCTAGAGTTTATACATTCTGGACAAATTTGTTGTTCATTTTGAGTGCAAGCCTTTGTGTTTTGAGGTATCACCCTCATCTCCCCTCCCCATCCCACAAGCTAAGGGAAATCATTGGAAAATTAGGATTTTGTATTTAAGGAGACAAAATGTATAAAACATATTTGACATGTGCTTAGCGCAAGTCAAAACGTAAACTATACAAGTGATTTTGGTATGATCTGCTCACTCACACAGCTTACCTTTTGCACATTGACCAACTGCATTAGTGGTTCATGTCATCATATTGTTATCCGCATATGATTTAGCTGGATAGAGATTGAAGTGGTTCATTATTTGATGTTAAACTGTCTGTGTATCATCAGTGTATATTTCATACTGAAACAAGTACAAGAATCATGTCTTCATCTTTGCAGTACAAGAACTAGGATAGGACTGACACAAATAAATAAACTGTTTGATGCTCTAAACTATAAGCAGAATGAAACAGTCCTTGCTAGTGATTGGCCTGTTGATTTAAGAGACAAACTGAATGCCCATGTATAGTTTTTTCTGAT